AATTTGTCAAGCAAAAATACCTGACAAATTTGACAAAAATTTTGACCGATGGAAATTTGAAGCTATACGGTATAATTTTTAAGATCCTTAATTTTGAAAAGCTTATAAGTCGTGACGCTAGCAATTTAAATGTGTTATTGGCCTACATGTAGCCTCAAAAATTTGTCAAAAAATTTGTTATGATTAATGTAAGTTAATTTATTTATTTAATTTATTTTTATTTATTTTATTAATTATATTAATAGATGGTAGTTTATATCTATTGGAGGTTAATTCAATAAAGGTGCAACACAGAGTATCATTAGCTGATGTGAGTCACATTAGTGCTAGTCTCCTACCTGATAACTTCTTCATTATACATGTACCTGCTGATCAGGACAGGCTCTTCATTAGCACGTAAGTATTAATTATTAATTATTATTATGATATTTATAATTTAGTAATATTTTATTCTAAGGCTACTTTACACTGTACTTTAGTACAGGGATTTTTTAGCAACTTTAAAAATTTATAAAAAATCAAATTTTTATCAGAATCAGCTCAAAATTTTTATGTAAGATAAGAACTTGTATGTGCATCAGGAAAAATTATAAAATTGAAAAATTTTCTGTTTTTTATTTTTGGTAAAATTTTGCCAATGTCATGTACTGTAGTAGTACAGTGACTTTTGTCCGATTTTTTAATTACTTTTAAAATTCATAAAATATCCAATTTTGATCGGAATCAGCTCAAACTTCTTACACAATATAAGAACATGTATATGTAACAGGAAAAATTATAAAAATGAAAAATTCTCTATTTTTTATTTTTGGTGAAATTTTTGCATTTTTAGTTATTATGTGTTATGTTTTGTGCATGTATGTTTAAATTAATTTAAAAATTATAAAGAGAGCATGTACATGCAGTTATCTATTATTACTATTATTATTATTATTATTATTATTATTATTATTATTATTATTAATTTATTATTATTATTTATTAGGAGGAAAACTGAGATAGTGACGTCACTAAGGATTGCTTACTTTGACATGACAAAACAAGAATTGAATATATCACTACAGAACAGGTAAACAATAATAAATTAATAAATAAATAATGTATTTCCTTGTGGAAATGCCTAGACACTTATTTCTTATAAAGACCCATTTAGTAGACAATTAATAATTCCTTACTGATAAGTCATCTGCCTGTTGCATGTACCAGTATCAAGTGGAAGGTGTGTACATGTATTAGCATACATGTACATGTATATGTGCCTCTACATGTAATGTCTTTTAGTTATTGTGAATTTGTTTGAGTTGTCCCTTCTCTTATGTCATCTTATCTCCCCCTCTCTCTTTCCTTTCTTTCTCTCTTTATCCTCTTCTGTCCCTCCCTCCTCCTCTGCCCCTCTCCCTCTCTCTCTCCCTCCCCCTCTCTCCTCCATTAGTATTGATTATAAAGTTGATAGAGATCAAGTGAGATGAGTTGAATTCACTCAAGGAGACAGTAAGTACCTCATACTATTAATAGTAACACTATTACTGATACTATTAATAGTAACACTATTACTGATACTATTAATAGTAACAACTAGTAACAATGATAGAATTTTCATAGAATTTCTACAGTTTTCATAGTGCTATTCACTAATGCCCACATCAATCTATTGATAATATCATTATTTTCATTTATTATTAGATGGTGTATATACAAGATTGTTTGCAAGGAAAATAAAGAATTAATAATAACATTATAATGACAGTAAATACACTGTGTGAGACTGTGTGTGTGTTTATGAATCATTTATCTCATTTATTTATTACTACTATTTGTACATGTACAATAATTGTAATTCATTATAATGATTATTAGATTAGATATTATTGTAGGCAGTATTTGTAGGGTTTGTTTTGAGATTTGAATGAGATGGAATTTTAGAAGAAAGAGTGAGTTAAAAGTAAAGGGCTTGTAAATAGCTTTAATACAGTAATAGCATTAATAAAAGGAGAATTTAAAGCCTGGTTTCCATATAGCCCCTACAACAACCTTACAACACTGTTGGTGATTGAAATCAGGTCTATTTTATTTACATAGATTATAGGATCCTTCTATGTTAGTGGTAGCTAAGTATTGTGGACTAGCAAAGAACTAATTGTGTCATGCTGTCATATCACACAGCAATGCTGTGTGATATATAGCTTGTCTAGAAAATAAGAGGTGGGCAGTGACTGACTACAATTGTTTTGTAAGTATTATAATACTGACTATTCACTTGTTTCAATTATTATTTATTGATCTACAGTTAAATAACAATGACACTATCTAGTACTTCTTATTTGTATTTTATTATTTGATTTACATTGAGAGACTGAGAGAAAATTACAATTTCTATGAAATGACCAAATTCGGTCATAGTAACTGGAACTACAGTAATATCAGTAGTAGAGGGACACTATGTACAGTTATTACATGTTACAATGAGCAACATAATGATAAACTCTAATGATCGCTAAAGGAACTTACGTGACATATATCACCCAATGAATTTTAATAAAAATAGCGAGAACACTCTACAATAGTGAGACTGTGAGAGCACAGTTGTTGACGATAGACCTGTTATATAAACTCTTACTACAAAAATTTGATACAATGATAGTGCTTCTTTACCTTGTAAAATGACAATAATAACTGTAAAACTAACAGTCACATATACTCCTCCAGACATTCTCATGATATAGTGTTAATCAGTACACATAGCTGTACCCACCTCTTTGTAAATCAAATTGATTACTTTGACGCTGTAAGCAACATATTTCTATAGTGTGAATTATAGTGTTGTTTGGTCATAATGATGATAACTGTATTTCAAACACTCTAAAGTTTAGCTGTAAACCCACCAGCTTATACCATTAATGACTGGATGAAAGAACTGATACTTGTAATACCGTTAATTATTAATATTAAGGTATAATAAAGTAGATAATAGAAAAGTCAAAATGGCATCATTACATGGTGATCATCCCCACTCACAATTTGCAGTTTCTGATGACAGCCTGACTGATAATTTTTTGATTCTCTTGCTCTTTAAACCTTTTACCTACATGTACTTTCTTTTCTTTCTTTCTCCCTCTCTCTTGCTCTCTTTTGCTTTTAATTTACTGGCTTGCCAGAATTTTTTGGTTCTAATTTTAGTGCCATCTTTTAACTCAGTGTACGACGTGTCCAAGCCTCTCTGATTTTTTATTACTATCTGTTTTAATTAA